TTATTTAGATTGTGTGAGAATGGGACTGTAAAGTACAAAAACACAGATATAAATCAAGTGAGTAATTGTATGTGATGAAAGTTAAACATAACTATAGCACACTAGGCTTGAAAATATTTTATACAAGACATCTCTGAAATGCTAATTTCCCCGAATTAACTATTTAACAAAGAAAGCTGAATTGTTCAGGTTTAACAATACAAAGCCATGCACAGTACAACTTGTTGTGTGTTACACAGGAGGTACTAAATCCTCTGCGACAAGCCCTGAGATCTTTGCTCAGCCCTCATTGAGCCCAAACTCTCATAGGAAATTTTTAGTGGGAAATCTTGTTATGTGAGAGCCACACTGGAGCAGTCTGGGAGGATTTTGCAGTAGCTGAAGAAGGCCTAGATGAAAATCAATAGCTTCTGTTTAGGGTTTGATGATGGAAAGGTGAGAAACTAAGTTCTTAAAACTTCTCAGATGTAAGGATTTCACTGGGAAATTAAAGTTTGTCCAGGCTGTTCTTCTAATATGTTAATGGTAATTAAGAATTAAGGGTTTAACACAACAGGTTTAATGTGCATATATAAACCATGATGCAGCACTGAGTCAGTGTCATAAAACACTGAAACAGACTCATAAAACATTGAGGAAGGAGTGCATAATAACTGCTTAGTACTCCTTTTCAGCGTCTTCAGAAACTGATTGCATAATGATGACTTACTGCTAATGGATGATTAATCAGGCATTCAGACTGCCTTGTTTTAACGCCACCTGTCCCACACAGGCAAGCTAGGAGCTGCCTTTTAAGTGGCCAGAGAGCAACCTGAACAGTGGATCATGGGCAGAAGCAAAAGCCCAGTGCAGACAAGTAGCGCAGAGAGCATCCATGCCAACTCCTTATCCTGCAGTGCAATACTTATTTTTGCTAATGATTAAGAACACAAGAGAGAAAAACTTGCACAACGGACACCAATTATTTTTCCTCCAAATTCAGGTTCTGCTAATACAGTACTTGGCAAACTCCTTGAAGATACATACTGTTCCTTAGGAGCAGTTTTTATGCATTTTAGAGATGACAATTTTTGATGCAGAGTAAAAATAATTTTCTCTTGATATGAGATAACTGCAATATTGAGTTTTTCTTTAAAGTCTTCTTTAACCAGAAAGAGATTTTAAATGAGAAACATGGGTGAATCATTGTTGTAACTTACTCCTAGGCAGCTCCAGGCTTCACCCATCACTGCTGGCCTGCCACATGTTAACAGTTACCTAAGTCTTAATACCTCGCTGTACTGGCACAGATCATTTCATGTACCTTCGTAGCTGGATAGTTCCCTGCAGCACCGTTTCACATACTAGACTGACACACGTCTCCTGGGAAATGGCGCTGCAGCATCTGCAGGCTGCCTCTTCCCTGTTCAGGTGACTTATATGTTAGCCAAGCTCTCGCATCCATTTGAAATATTTTAAAAAGCAATTAAAACTAGGAGGAAAAACAAAAAAAGGGGTGAAACCAGAAAGATTAGGACTGAACTTAGACTTGTATCTTCATCCCACAACAGAGTAGTGGGACATTTCTGACAAACCACCAGAAGTATCAAGTTATTTGTTGCTATGGTGAAATCAGAAGCAACAATTTTTTCAAGGAGAAAACCTTAGTGAGGGAGCTCACGCATTTTGTAAAACACAGAGTAGGTTTGTTGGACTGCGTGTTTGTCTTGCTCATATAGCCTAAGCAGAAATAAAAATTTTACAGAAATATTCCTGTCCAAAGTTTGCTAAAAGCTTCATCTCATTTAGCAGTCATGGTTTATTAGATCAATCTTTAAGCATAGAGACCAATCTTCAAGCATAGAGATCAACCTTTAAGCATAAAGACAGGACACACCGGTACAGTAGTCCTGGCAAGGCAGCCAGCTCAGATGTGGCTGTGATCATGCTGTGCCACAAAACTGCAAACAGGCCAAAGTTACGGGGGAAGCCGCTTAATGCAGCACGTGCACCTTTAGATGGGCACTACAACACGTTTCATAAGAAACTCCTGCTGCTTGTCCCCCCAACACAGACATCAGGCTCCATCTGAGGTAATACATCCACCAAGAGATCTGTTAGTTTCCTTGCTTAAATAGACACAGTTTAGTTCAGGACTTGCCAGTGTTAGGTCAATCACAGAATCACAGAATGTCAGGGGTTGGAAGGGACGTCAGAAAATCTAGTCCAACCTCCCTGCCAGAGCAGGATCACTACAGTAGATTGCACAGGAATTCGTCCAGGAGGGTTTTGAAAGTCTCCAGAGAAGGAGACTCCACAACCTTCCTGGGCAGCCTGTTCCAGTACTCTGTCACCCTCACAGTGAAAAGGTGTTTTCTAATATTTTTGTGGAACTTCCTATGCTCCCAGTTTTTACCCTTGTCCTGTCATTGGACATCACTGAAAAGAGCCTGGCACCATGCCCCTGACACTCGCCCTTGGAAGCCTCCTCTTCTCCAAGCTAAAGAGACTCAGCTCCTTCAGCCTTTCCTCACCAGGGAGATGTTCCACTCCCTTCATCATCTCTGTGGCTCTGCGCTGGACTCTCTCAAGCAGTTCCCTGTCTCTCTTGAGCTGAGGGGCCCAGAACTGGACACAATATTCCAGATGTGGCCTCACCAGGGCAGAGTAGAGACCTCTCTTGACCTACTAGCTACTCCCCTTCCAATATAGCCCAGGATGCCATTGGCCTAGCGTTCTGTGATTCTGTGAAAAATGGAAACTACAGCATTTTATTACTTTTTCTCTTCCAAAACTGCATTTGCAAGTAAGCTTTCTAGCCTAAGTTGTGGTTTTGTTTAAATCTGTCTTTTCAGAATGCAGGTCTGTAAATAAGAACTCTCTGTTCTCTAAGTGTTTCTCTGGTCTCAGCATAGTTCTGTACTTGGCAGTTTGCAGTATGCTATCAACCAACAACAGCAGGCCATGAAGGTAGCATCCTGAGACTTCTGTCATTGTTGTTTATGTATTTAAAAGCAAAAAAACCAACAAAACAAAACCCTGCCAGTTTGCACATAGCTAGTTGGAATATGCTGAATGTAGTGCTTGCATTACTTTTTGTCTCCATATTTTCACCTAATCCACATCTCTCTTGTTTGTTACACACCCCTTTCTTCTCGCACCTGAATTAAGATTGTTATTTCTCTGAGGAAAACCTCTTGCCCTGCCATCAGAAAAAGGTCTCTGGTTATATGGAACAAATTTGTGATGTTAGACAAGGAGCAGTCATTTTGTCTTCTGACATAAATGCAGGACTAAGTTTTCTTCATTTAATCAAAACCATCCAGGCTGTAGCAAGACAATGCCTGTAGCCTGCTGAAGAAACAATGGGTTACGTTGTTTCCCCAGACAAGAACAGATAACGATTTAACATGGCTTTAGACAAAACGCCATGAAGAACTATGGATCATATCCTTTGTATTTCACATCCAATCGTACTGTAACTGGCCAGTTTTGGATGCAGAACACAATCATTTTTTTTTTAAAAAAAAGTGTAGGAAAATGTATATTCTAAAAACATAAATGTCATACTTGAGAGGAAGCAAGAGTTCACCATCAGAGTCATCATCATTCTTCCCAAATGTTGCAAGTGTTGGAGTACTTATTTTGCCTTTATAGAATGTTTGATAAAAATGTGGTCTTTGCTTTCCAAATATAAGTAATTCTTCTGGTGCATTATAGCCCTTAATCCAGAAACACCAGTCCTTTAAAATAAAGTTTTTACTGTAAGTCTGGACTCCAGCCTTCTCTTTTTGCTGATCTGGTTGAAAGATCTAGTCACTGCTATAATATAATTAACAAAAATAAAGCTTATTGAATGACATTTCCACCTTCTTCATATTTTTTAATAAGTTAAACACATTTTATCTCATGTTGAAAAATGAAAAATACAGTGCTTCTATGAGGCACTCTGTAGACCTGCAAGGACCCATTGAGTGATACCTTAAGAGGAATTCACATTAAAACCAAGAGAAACACCCTTAGATAGCTAGATAAAACATCTGTCAAATATTCAGAATATCTGGGTAGAGGAGACTTACAGAATAGTTCCAAAAATTTTAGAAATCCAGCTAACTTGACAATCTCAGAGACAGCTCCTCTTAGTGACAGTAAAATACATAGCACTTCTCGGAAGAACCCAGCAGCTAAGGCACAGGAAAGTTTGTAGAAAAGAAAGGCAATTTGTTCTTGTTAAATGTCAGGTTTGGCATCACTGCACTCTTGATGTATATCTGATGGTTCAGGAATGTAGTGCTTACTGGAGTGATCTGCATGATACTTCTCTGCCATCTCACAAAATGAAGACCCTGTTCCCTGTGATGTGCCTCCCTCCTGATGGGCTGCTCCCTGGAAAAAAATTGAAGATCTTGTGCCACAAACACCAGCATTTTGCTGCGATACCTGTTTCTTTCCTGCTTGAACACCACAGATGTGAAATAAATGAGACACTGTAAGAGCAATTTTTTTTTCTTTCACTATTAGTGAATGACGGAAGCAAGATATTCACAAACATCTCTCTCCCTAAATTGGAGAAAACATTAGATGAAGGAGTAAACTGGAACAAATATTTTATATACATCCATTTTCAGAAGTTTACACTTGTAAACTGTTGATATGAAGCATAAAATCTATACCTACAGTTTATTTAACTATTTCATTTTAAGAGCTCAAGGTGCAAAGAACAGCATGCCTTACTCCCTGCATTTATTAACTTAAAATAAACAAAGATAACATTTACTCCACATTTAATGATATCACATGGGATTAGAGCTATGCCAAATGCGTTGAATTATTTTGATGAACTATCAGCTGCCTCTGCTGAAGAGAGATTTCCTCAGGAGTATCCAAAGCTACTTTTTGTTGGTCTTCAGCAAGTGCCTCATGGTGGATTTTGATTTACCAGCAGGTATCCTCCTTGAGGATCTGCTAGTGTTTCCAGTATTTGAAACAACTACTGACGTCTTCTGTGGAATTGGGCCTTTTTACCTCCTAAGCCACCCCACTATTTCCTGTTTATAACATATGGCAAGGGTTATTCCAACGATACAGGGAAGAAGAACAATAAGTAGTGTTACTCCTATTTTTTCCCTCTGAAAAAGATACCTGGCTGGAGGGGGTCCGCTGTCAATGCTACCTCCAAGTCCTTTCCATTCACAATATGGAGGAGCCCAGCCATATTTGCAGTGACAGTTCTTATGATTGTTACACAGTCCTCTGTCATGGCACTTTGTCACACTACAGCTGTAGTTCGGTAGTGATATGCTGGTACATGTTCTGTTGATACAAATTCTATCACTACCACATGGTGTGCCATCTTCCACAGCTCCCACGTCAGCTGTTGGCATCCCTACATAATAGTCGAGACTCCAGCACTTTTTATCTCCAACTGGGGTTTGGACTAGCGTTACATGGTTCTGCAAGAAAAGCAATTTTTCTATGTTTTCACACTGGATCCTGCCACATAAGACATTCTCAATACTGCATTTTGTAAAATGGGTATTGTTACGAATACCACAATTCCCAAATCGGTCACCTCGAGTATTCACTGCTTTGAAGCAATCAAAAGAAGCAGCCCTGGCTTTTTTGCCAAAAAGGTGCTGGCACTGTTTACTGTGGGAAGAACATTTTCCTCGATAGCAACGAGCATCATCATTGCAAGGGGTTCCATCTTGTATGTAGACATCTGGTGGGCACCAAGGGGAAGTCCCATTGCAATACTCTGGCAGGTCACAGTCACCAATGCCTGCTCTGCAGAGCGTTCCTGCTGGAAGGACCCGACAACTCTTGCAGCATTTTCCAGAAGCACAGACTGAACCCGCAGTAAACGTACAATTTGGGTGACAACAACGATCCTTTCTGCAGTCTGATTCTGAACCACAGTCACATTGTTCTCTGCTTTCCACTACTTTATTGCCACAGTATTCATGCTTCACGGTGTAGAAAGTGCCGGGTGCTGGTGGCTGACGAATACAGTCGGCACCACGTCCAAGGAGATCAAAGTAGTCTTTGTAACTGCAGTCACTGAATGCATCAGTGTTGACATTGCTTTCACACATAATGCATGTTTTACGTCTACATTTACAGCCCCGTTCATCATGGTACATCCCAAGAGTATGGCCCAGCTCATGGACAAATGTGCTAGTAAGTGAGGACAACTTCCTATCAGTGAAGGAAACAATTGCTGATGACCACTGGTTATCACAGATGGTCCCTACAAATGCCGACCCCAGGCTCCATCTAAAGTTCTGAAATGCAAATAAGTGAGCAGTATCATGGCGCATCCGTGGAGACAGGTCTGACTTTCGCCATTCGTTAAAGTCATAAAGTGTCTTGTTGGCAGAGTCAGTAATGTTTATAAGGTTGCTTTTGGTCCAGATCTCCAATCCCACAAGAAAGAGCTGAACAGAAAGCTGTTCATACAGCAAGTCCCCAATGTTGATGACTTCTATGACTTGCCTCAAGACTTCAGATTCATCACTGTCCGACTTCACAAAACGTACCTTGTCCACGACCATTACCATCTTCACATACCTGATGTGTGTCCACCAGTCCTTCGCCATCTCCTCCTCCTGCTGAGGGACCTTTTGCTGGGGCAGCAAAGCCTTTTGGCGTTGCAGCTCCTCCGGGGTCAGCCCACAGGCAGGGCCTGTAGGCTTATCAGCTGCTCCCGTGTGGTAGAGGATGTGCCGGAAGGCAGGATCATGAGGAATGGGCTCGATCTCGTAGGTGCCATCATCTACCCAGAATATGCCGTGGAGGCCCCTGCGGCAGGTGCTGAGGGCCACCAGGGAGCCGGGGCTCCCCTGCACCTCACCCTGGTAGAAGCAGTTGTCTTGCACCGAGGGGTGCTCCTCCCTGTGGGCCCCGTCCTCGCCGTAGGTGACCAAAGTGAAGGGGTGGGAGACCAGGCCCCGCCGGGGCCACAGGCGCAGCACCCACGGCCTCCCCCCCACCTCCAGCCGGTAGGAGATGAACAGGGGCTCAGCGTCAGACTGAGGGCTCAACTGCTGCGGCACTGTCACCCAGGTGGTGGTGACGCGCAGCCCCACCTGGTCCCCCAGGGTGGCCGGGCACCCCGCCAGGCCCAGCAGCACCAGCAGCCCCAGCAGGGCCCCCATGGCAGCTGCCCCAGCCGCTGTGCGAGGGGATGGAGCCTGGCAGGGCCCTGCCCCAGGGCGGGGATGGAACCAGCCCCAGGCCTCCAACTGCCACTTGGCTCAGTGGGGAGGAGCAGCAGCAGGGTGGCCCCCTTTGCCTTACCTCTGTGGAAACATGTCCTGCTGCCGAGGGGGACATCTCAGAGGGCGCCTCGAGGCATCCATCCCCTGCTTTTGGAGCAGGTACAGAGGCTTTTGCGTGGAGGAACAGAAAAAACACAAGTGCCTTCTCTTTATAATCCTCTGCCCTGGGAAAATTTCTCCCCACTGTCTACCCATCTATGATCCACATTAGGCTACACAAGGACACTTCTCATGTAAGTGGCCATTTGTTTGTTCTGTGCATGATTACAGGAACAAAGGAACACTTTCTCAAAAATCCATCTTCCTCTTGGAGAAAAAAGGAAAAAATTGCCTTGAACATTGAATGCCTAGCTATCATAATTTGCTTTGCCATTGAAAAATAATAAGTTAAAGAAGTGTATCACATCAACTTTTCTTCAGAAGTCATCTGTTGGTTCAGCAAAGCCACAATCTACTTGCATAACATATCTTCATCATTTTTCTCACAGTGAGCCTCAAGGCATCAAAATAAAGTTAATCTTTCCCTTTGCTTTGTCCCTCCTCTTGCTTATACTCTATACAAGCACAGCTTGCTTTGGCAAACAACATGTACTGACTGCCCAAATGGCATCTAACTTTCTTTACTAGGAAAGGGTTACCAAAATATGAAATATGGTAGCAGAGGAGTGTGTGAGAATAACACATAGCCTGGTCAAAGCTTATTGAAGAGTTAAAGAAGACAGTATTTCTGCTGCATCTGAGACACTATTAGCTTTACACTGTGAGTTGAGGTAGCTAGACTGCCCCTCTTCCTACAGATTGGCTGGATTTTTGTATATGTGTATTTATATGCACATGTATATACACATGTATATCTATTTTTTGTATACACACTTTTAGATGTACTTTCAGGCTCTGAGAACAATGTTTCTATCAGAGTTCTACGTCACTTTCGGCTCCTGCTACTCAGTGATTTAGTCCAAGAAAAGACCTTCTGAAGTCTTAAAGAGGTGGAGAGAACTCTCCTGTGCAACCAAATATCTCCTTTATGCAAAAGAAAGTGATATACAGGGCAAATTTCAGAACGGCTTGCTTATTTCCTTTTTGTCTATAAGCTTCACAAACACTGAAGGTTGTTTGAAGGACTTTGGCGGTCAAGCTCGAAGCCAAGAGGTAATGTATAAATACCAGAGAGAAAAGGCTGAGATTCTGGTACATTGAAAAATATTACTGACTAGAAGACACCTGTTTAACAGCTTTTTGACAATAAATTACTGGGAGTTAAACAATATGTCAAGGGCCAGCCACTGCAGAAGAGGGCTTAACCCTTGTTTTATAACCTCAAAATAAATTTGGCACAACTATCTAAGCATATCTTAATCTTCCTTCCTATCTACATTTTTTTTTGCTAGGCACAGGCCTTTGTCTTACTACAGTTTACTCCGAGAAAGCAGGTAACAGCTGTGAAAAGAAAGCAGACTATTTCAAGGATTCCTCCATTACTTCAATGAAAAAACCCAAACCAAACCAATAGTAATTTCTTTGCAATGGATGACTTCTCATTTTTCTGTGGAGAAAAAAAGAAAAAGAAGTTTGTGTAAGCAACATGCTTAAACAGCAAAGTATAGAACTGTCAGTGATGTTTCTCTTCCATTGCCCTACCTCCTCAGGTCTAAAAGGGAGATAACTAATCAAGGTGCTCAGATGTGTCAAGAAAGTGCTACAAGAATAGAAGAAGAGATTTAATTGATGTATTTGAGTTATGGTGAAAAAAAGAAGAAATATAAACAGCTTCACTGAGCGTGCAACAGCAAGATATTTCAACCTGTTTTATGCCATCATAAATCTCTCTCACAGAACACTAGCTTTTATAATAGAAGATCAACTTAGTCATTTAGTAAAATGAGTGTCCAAGAACATATAAAGACTGAGGGCAGCTGACATCCAACTACATGGATTTGAGCCTCCAGTTATCATTTTTTTTATCTGTATCCCAAGCATACTAAAGTTACTGCAATTTATAGCAAGCAGCTTCAATCCTTTAGTTAAACTTTTCTTCCTCAAAATAGTGCACAATATATTCTGATATACAAGCAAAAAATACTGCCAGCACATTCGACGTATTTGCTGCTAGGAAAATAAGCATTTAAGAAAGGCATTCCTCCTGCAGCCAGGAGTTTTATTTGCTATAATTTAAATTATTTTGTTTTGCATAGAAGTTTTTTCTTTTTACGTAGGAAACCAAGACACAAGGGATGCAAGAGCTTGTAAAGATTTCAGAAGGCTGCAACATATGTCCATGCAAAAACCTCTCTCAGAAGGCTATGAAAACTGAAAACAGCTTATTCGAGGCAGCTCACATCCTGACATTAGAATTTGTGTGGCAAGTTTCTACAGAAAAAGCTGTTACAGGGACTTCAGATCCTAAATTGTCTCAGTGGAAGAGCTTTAATAGAGAGGGGAGCAAGAATCTCCCATTTGCCAGGTACTGGCTAGTCTAGATGTGTAACAACTTCTCCCTATACTGGAGTCTCATCCATTTTTCAGGTGGTCCTTTAGGACCAGCACTCTGCTGACCATTCTTCCCAGTCTTTATTTCCTCTGGCTTGACAGCTTCAGGGCTGGTTCTAGTTCCTTCTTGATTTGATTCACTTAAGAAGTAACAGCAAAATGAAGTTAAACCTGCAATGTTTATTCCTAAAATACTGTTCAGAAGACTTAGAAAAAATTGCCGATGTCAAAGGGGCAAAATTAATTTCAAAGGTATAAAAAATAACTAATGACTAAATTCATACCTATATGGGTAAGAATGAAGAGATAACAGTTCATGCTTTTTCCTTTTTTGAGGATCAGCTCAGAGCCTTCACATGCTTTCTTGAGCTTGTAGCACCATGCAAAATCAGTCAGACGCTGGACTGACTTGACTAAACTGGTCCCTTATTCACTCTTTCACTCTCCTCCTGCTTTCAAAGACCATTTCCTACATTTGGACTTTCAGGCAATAGTTTTACAGGCAGAAAGGGCAGGAGTAGAATACACATTTTTTCAGTTTCACTCCAGCTGTCACAGAGACCTCTTACCTAGTACTTTGCACAATTAGGCAATGCGAGAATTCCTAACCACCACAGTAGCAGCAGCAAGGAGCTCATATGGCAAGTAGAAGTTACCGTTATATAGACCCTATTTTTTTTAAGCCTTGTGACTATATTAGAGTCTTACCTGGGATAGGCTTTTCTTCAGGCTTTTGCTGTGGGGAAGGAAGAAAAAAAACCACCACTTCAGTGGAACCAAAGTCATAATTCTTAACACTTCCTATTATCCATTTAGGAATGTAAACCAAGCAATGCAGTCTTGTACGTAAAGAGTTGAGGGTGGAAGCAATCTCTAAATACACCTTAAGCAAAATCCAATTAACATTTTATAAAATCCAGGTTTTCCTCTGACAGCTGAAAAGCGCTAAAGCAAAAATTACACAATTACTGAGTCTTTCCCACATCTGAGGAGTAAACGATGCTGTGAAGATCATTTCTTTTGCTCCCAAGCAGAAGACCTTGTGGAACAAATGGCTACTAGAGACAACCAGAGGTAATCACAGCAATTTCACAGAATGCCAAGAATTTCCATGCTAATTAATAAGCCTCCACAATAACAGAGTAACTAAACCAAAATAGCTGTGGTGGCTTGATTGAGCTCACAAAGCAGGAAACCAGAAGCAGCAGCAAAATCTAATAGCTGACAAGAACAGAATCTTTAAGATTAGTAAGGAATTTTTATAATAAAATTTCCCTGCATAGTTTTGTTGAAGTCCTGATGACTTTTGTAATTAGAAAAGGGAATCCTCCAAACAGAGCCTTCCATTTAAAGTTTATTATCTAACTCATGTTACCATTGCAGAAAGCACACAAAATTCCCATTTAGCTCAGCTGCTGAAGTATTTATGACTGCCTTAAGTTCTAAGTAAGTTACAGTAATATTATGGCTTATATGTGACATACCTGAACAAATCTGGGTGGAAACTTTTGTCTTAGGCCTAAAAGCAAAGCATCTACCCATTGCTTTTGGAAAACAGAACTTGGTTCTTCTTCTTGACTTTAGGTTTAGCTTTCCCTGCAAGCCACAGAAATGTAAGAGAAATATAAGAGAAACTTCTGTTCTCTTAGCAGATTTTTGGGGTATGACAAGTTGGTATTCATCTCTTGTCTAAATTTCATCTCCATTTTCCCTTTGGCATCAGTTTTGGATTAAGGACAATTCTCACCTCACAAACTCATTTGGCTTCTGAAAATGTACTTCGATCTCCAGAGGTTTGAAGAGTTGCCCACTTTATTGACAAATTGCTTACCATATTCATCTCCCACCCATATTTTGATGCTCATCCCCACCAGCACAGAAGAGCAAGATTCCTTCCACCTGACAGGGAGCACTAACTCAACCTTCGATGAGCTTTCAGAAAAAGAACATAAGGCAGTGTTTGGAACTTAAGGACAAAACACAGTATAAATTTTTGAAATCATTGATTTCAAAATTAGTATTCAATACTCATTTTTGTTCTGGGAAAGGAACTTGCGATCAAGTTTTGGACCAAGAACATAATCTCTTTAACAGGCTCTTACAAGATCTTTCTGGAGAGTTCTTCTGACAGAGAAAAACTTGCAGAAGCAGTCATTTACTAGAACAGAAGAAATCAAAGCTTCATTTTTAAGAGAATTATTACATTACATTAACATTCCAAAGCAAGCATCACTGAATATGGGTTTAATTATGATTTCATATGTATTTGTCATGTAATTTTTCTTTTGATTATTCAAATCTTATGCTGTTGTGTCAGTTATGTAGCTTCAGTTATTCTGATCTTTTATCCTTAAACAACGAATCATACTTTTTGGACCATACTGCAG